AGCTTGGGAAATTCAGGAATGCACTCAAGAGAGAAAAAGACACATTTGAGGATGCCATGCATGTTCAATATAAGATGTCTATGGAAGAAGGCCAATTCAGTAATCTGAGAGAGTATATGTAGAATGCTGAGATCTTTGGCTTTAGAGGCAACAGGTACCTACCTGCCATTCCTTGTGTTCCATCATCTACTTTTCCAATACAGACATTTCTAAGGCCATATGACTTTTAAAAAAATGAACCAAGCAGTAATTATTTTCCTCTTTGCTTGTAGTGTTCAACACCTTTTAATTTTTGAAAGCCAGCTGGGAAATTGACCAAACAAGTTCAGGAGTTTAATCACAGAAGTAACAAGGCCCGGAAATAGCATATATCTAAACCATTGGTGCTTGTTCAAATGAAACAGACAGTAAACAATTTGGTATCTGTTTTGCAGATTACAAAATGGGAAAAAAGATGAAAAGTTTTCACAATGCAAATTCAATTTCCTATACAATTACATTTTTCAATGGGACTCTTAATTAATTCCTTGTAAACTAGATATCGCAATATTCAATGCAACCTCATTTCTTGCTTGCTTTGAGCTTCACGCAGTTCAGAAAGCTATCCAAGTTAATGGGATTTGCTTTGTATCCATTCTGAAACAAGATATACTATTTGAGTAATACCAGCCGTAAGCTTTCTGAGTTTAGTAGCTATAAAGGAGAAAAATATAAATCATGTTTTGATCTATATCTGAAGTCACCATGACAAAACAAATGAATTCTACTCATATCCTGTGTTCTGATTTTTTTGATTGGACATGTGGCACAAGTACTCAAGGGGAAAAAAATAACTGACATGGTATCTTTATCCAAAAAACAAACAAATAATTGTCATTTGCTATTAGGTAGTTCCACAAACTAGTTAAGGTGGAATCCTGGCATGACAGTATACGTGATAGTATGCATATTTATTCCTTACTCTTTCCAGATGGAAGAGAGGTCATGATGAACAGAAGAAGAACATAGGACCCATCAACATGTTTACTTGGAAGTAAGCAACAACTGATGCACACACAAACCAGACTGGAGTTTTGGGCTATAATCGAGACATTTGTGTAAGACTATAAGGTTGCTATGTTTCAGCCCTATGATACTTTTGAAAAGTAGCATGATGGGAAGACACGTAACATGTGAATATGATAATACACAAGGAAAAAGAATTAATGAATGTATCTTTTTCCAAGAAACAAACAAATAATTGTCATTTTCTATTAGGTAGTTCCACAAACTAATTAAGCTGGAATCCTGGCATGTCAGTATACGTTGTAGTATGTATATTTATTCCTTTTTCTTTTCAGATAGTTCATGAATCAGATGGAATAGAGGTCATGATGGACTGAAGAAGAACATAGGACCCATCAACATGTTTACTTGGAAATAAGCAACAACTGGTGCACACAAAAACAGGACTAGAGTTTTGGGCTATAATCTAGACATTTGTGAAGACTATAGGGTTTCAGCCTTATGATACTTTTGAAAAGTAGCATGATTGGAAGACATGCAACATGTGAGCATGATCATGCTTACCTTACTAGCAATGCATTATTTGTAAGTCTGTCATTCAGCATTCAACAGAATGAGGGCTCTGTCAGCCCCAGAAGAAGACATTTAATATTCCAAGTAATCAGGGATAGGATTACAAAAATGAAATCTGGTTTGTCAATCAGCTAAAAAAGATTCGGTTAAGTCCAAACATCTATTTAGTATTGATTTCAAAAGGAGAAAAAACTGAATATGTTTGGTGTAAGTTCCATTAGAATAAAAGGCACGTTTTTTCAAGAACATATATTTTGGGCCAGCAATTTAAATGCTTAGAAAAGAGTCTAAAGCTACAATGCTCACTTATCCAGGATTAAGCCCACTAAATTAAACAGGACTTAAATTCCAACGTATAGGTGGTATTATATGCAATCTCTTTTCAGTTTCCTGGCATTTTTCCTTTTTTGAAAAAGTCTTAATGTGTGTAATTTCTGTTACTTCTGAGGTTTATATTTAGTCCGCTTTGGACACTGACTCTTTAAATGAATACTAAGAAAAAGGAGTATAGAACCCATTTTAGAAGCTCTTTTGAAAGGAACACCCAGACGATTTGCTGCAAAAATTATACTGCTGAACAACTTGTACTTTCAATAAACCCTCAGTTAGTATTTGATAAATTCACAGAGCATGTATGTCAGGTTTCAAGCATATCAGAGTGATGCATCACTCACACCTAGTGCCTTTTATTTGTTGCCTGGTAGTAAAGCCATAATTTTTGATCAATACCTAATTGCTGTCATATAAAACACAACCATAGCTTTCCTCCTCCCATTTCCCTGGCATTGATTTAACAATGCAAAGCTATACATGGTGAGTTTTTTTCTCCCAGAAAGAAGTTTCATTTAGTACAATAGGGTTTGTTCCCAGGGAAGCGTGTTTAGGATTACAGCCTAAAATGTATATAGATAATTTACCCAAATACTTAAATATGACAATGAGTCAATCCAAATAAAACTCCCAAATTTACTAACAATTTTTCTAGAATTTTCTGTTCAACTTAACCATTTATTGTCCATTGCAAATATTATTATAATAATATGATTATATTTATTAATATATTATATTATAATAATATATAGCATTATTATATTATTATTATTCTTTATTATTCTTTATTATTATTATTATTCAGCCCATATTCCTGTCATGGACTGTGGGATTTTCAACTGCAGTTTACTAAATATAAAGCCAAGCCAGCTCCCATCTTGTACTCTTGATAGCAAGGCTTCTTGATCTTATCTCATTTTTCCTTGGGTTTTTTCCTCTCCATTTGTAGTGGTATTAAGAGACATTTATCTGAAAGCATGCCTGGATGCTTTGAAGAACATTCATTCTCAAAAATCCAGGCTGTAATCCTAGACACCATTCTACCTGGGAGTAATTCTAAATAGAATTCAATGAGACCAACTTCTGAGGAAACCTATATAGGTAGAATCACTTTAAAATGGCATCTCAGTGCCCAAAATAAACTAAACCTTATACTTTAGAGAAGCCAAAGGGACTTAGTCCCAATTTCACAAGTTCCAGGTGTAAGGCTGTTCTCCAAAACACATTTCCTCCCAAGTAGTCCCATTGGAGGCTGCAGGCTGAGACACAACCCTGCTGTGTCCAAGGAGGATTGTAAAGTGATTTTCCTAAGAATCATAGTCTTAGGTTTTGGATGACAGTGTGGGCAGCTGAGGAGCTTCTTTCCTGATACCAGCACCATGCATTTTATTTCATTTTGCCATTTGGGTCCATTGGTGAAGTCACCTGGGACTTACTCCCAAATACACAAGCTGTTCTGCAAAACAAGTCTCCTCCCAAGTAGTCCCATTGGAGGCTGCAGCCTTAGATACAACCCTGCTGTGTCTAAGGGAAACTGGGAAGTGATTTTCCTTAGAATCACAGTATTAGGTTTTGGATGGCAGTGTGGGCAGTTGAGGAGCCTCTTCCCTGATACCAGTACCTTGCCTAACATGCACTGTGTTTCATTTTGCCTTTTGGAGCCATGGGTGAAGTCACCTGGACTTACTCCCCAATACACAAGCTGTTCTGCAAAACAGGTCTCCTCCCAAGTAGTCCCATTGGAGGCTGCAGTCCTAGATGCAGTTTAAGTAAACCCTACTGTATTCATCATGGATTTCCAAGTGATTCCTTAGACTGGTGTTATGAGGTTTCAGATGACTTTACAGACCAGCTTAGGAGCCTCTTCCTGATGCCAGTCCCTGCCTGGACAGGGATAAGGTCAAGAAGCCTTGCTGTCAAGAGCACAAGATGAGAGCTGGCTTGGCTTGATACTTAACTGCAGTTGAAAATCCCACAGTCCATGACAGGGATGTGCCCTGAATCTCATAATAGTAGTATTTCCCCTTGCCATTCGGGGCTACTAGGGAAATCACCTGGGACTTATTTCCTTCCAAGTAGGCATGTCATAGATGGAGGCGCAAATTCACTTGCTCTTCCGACTGAGGACAGAGAGAAGGTGGGCTCAAAAGATAGGCTCGCCTCTTGCCTATTCTGAGCGGTGGCAAAGCCCCAAGAGCCCAGCAAAGCCCAAACGTCTAAGTGTATTTTTTGTCTTTCTGAGCGGTGGCAAAGCCGCAAGAGCCCAGCAAAGCCCAAACGCGGGCAGCCAGAGAAGTTTCTGACCCCTTGTGTCCCCTGCGGAGGGGAGCCACGCCAAGGCTGGCCTTAGAAAGGCGATGGAGGGGAACCAAGCCGTCCTTGGAGAACATCAACCTCTTGCAAGCAGAGAGTTCTGAGGAAGGCTGAGCATGGGAAGGAAGGAAGGGAAGAAGGAAGGAAGGAAGGAAGGAAGGAAGGAAGGAAGGAAGGAAGGAAGGAAGGAAGGAAGGAAGAAGAAGGAAGGAAGGAAGGAAGGAAGGAAGGAAGCAAGCACTGGGGAGTTTGGAGACGGAAGGTCCCTTGGATCTGGCTCCAAATTGGGGGCTTGGGAGTACTAAGAAACGGATTAAAGAGGGAAGAAAGGAAAGCCGAGCGAGAGAGGGAAGCGAAACGTCTCCATACAGCTTGGAGGAGAACAGAAATAAGATGGAGGTGGGGAGTCGAGGGACCGTGCGTAATCTAGAAGGAGGACCGGAATGGGGTCCCATCTCCAAGAGGCGAGGCTCCCTAAATCCCAAAGCTTCCTAGAGCCATGCATTTCGGAAGAGGGAGGCTCAGCCCTGAGGCAGGAAAGGCAACCATCGCCCTCTGCAGAGGAGCGAGAGAGAGCGAGGCTTTCTCGCCGGCAAGGAAGGCTCCGGAGCGGGCTTTCTGCGCCCGGACGCCCGGCTTTTTTGCGCCCTGGCTTGTCCCGGGCGGGAGTGCCAAGGCGGCTCCCCGGGGGGACTTCCAAGTAACTTTGCGCCACTTTTCCCCTCCCCCGAGTCAAGCAAGGAAGGAGAGGAGGCAAGCGTGGGGAAGAAGCGCCTTACCTGGGTCAGCGCCCACCGCCGGCCCCTTCGCCAGAGGACATAATCCCGAGAGGAGGAGGAGGAGGAGGAAGAGGAGGAGGAAGGCGACCCGAAGGGACTCGGACATGGTCGGGGAGCCTCCGAGGCGCCACCCGTCGCCGTGGTCCAAAGTCGGGCGGGGGAAGCGGCGAGGGATGCGGCGCTCCTTTGGAAAGGATGCTCAGGGAGGAGGAAGAGCAGGAGGAGGAGGAGGAGGAGGAGGAGGAGGAGGATGCCTGCTCGCCTCTCCGCCCGCTTCCTCTCTCTCTCTCTCTGCCTGGCTTCCCTCGCAGGCTGGCTGGCTGGCTGTGTGGGAGCGCAGCTGGTGCGTCTCGACTTCTCAATGCAGAGGACGCGTCTGATCTTACATCACGCAAGAGGGGCAGTCAGGAGGAGACAGAGGAGGAGAGCAAGAGAGAGAGAGAGAGAGAGAGATGCCAAGGGATGGGGAGCTCACGGCTTCATCGCCCAAGCTGCCATCACCTCTCCCACTGGAGGCGTTGAGGCAAAGGCGCCTTTGGAACCCAGTCCTTTGCAAAGCCTTGCCAGTCAGGACGAGGGAGGTCCCTCGTGGGGAGATGGGTTCTGGGGAGAGAGATCCAGGTGGAGCCCCCTAAAGTGGGCACAGGAGAGAGGCCAGTTGGGTCAGGAAGAAGGAGAGGCTCCCAAAGTCAGGAGGGCAGCCTTTGAGGACTGGTCCTGGCTGACAAGTAGGCTGGGACCACCTTGAGTGACACAGCCCCCCAAAAAATCCCTTTAAAAAGGAAAGACGTTTTGAGAGTGAAGGAAGGAATGCTTGGAGGAGGGAGGGGCCCCCACAGCAGCTATCTATCTATCTATCTATCTATCTATCTATCTATCTATCTATCTATCTATCTATCTATCTATCTATCTATCTATCTATCTATCTACTAGAAACTGACAGTGACCATTGCACCAGCTCTCGGCACTGGCTTCTTTTACATCAGTGGTTCTCAACCTTCCCAATGCTGTGACCCTTCTCATGTTGTGGTGACCCCCAACCATAACATTTATTTTCTATCTACTAGTAACTGACAGTGACCATTGCACCAGTTCTTTTCCATCAGTGTTTCTCAATCTTCCTAATACTGTGACCCTTTTGTACAGTTTCTCACGTTGTAGTGACCCCCAACCATAACATTATTTTTGTTGCTATTTCATAACTGTCATTTTGCTACTGTTATGAATCATAATGTGAAATCTAATATCATACAATCATAGAGTTGGAAGAGACCTCATGAACCATCTAGTCCAACCCCCTGCCAAGGAGCAGGAAAATCCATTCAAAGTATATCCAACAGATGGCCATCCAGCCTCTGTTTAAAAGCCTCCATAGAAGGAGCTTCCACCACACTCTAGGGCAGAGAGTTCCACTGCTGAACAGCTCTCACAGTCAGGAAGTTCTTCCTAATGTTCAGGTGGAATCTCCTTTCCTGTAGTTTGAAACCATTGCTCCCGTCCTAGTCTCCAGGGCAGCAGAAAACAAGCTTGCTCCCTCCTCCCTATGACGTTTTCTAATGTATTGCATATTTATAGGTGGCTATCATGTCTCCTCTGTCTTCTCTTCTGCAGGCTAAAAATACCCAGCTGCTCCTCATAGGGCTTGTTCTCCAGACCCTTGATCATTTTAGTCACCCTCCCCTGAACACATTCCAGCTTGTCAATGTCTCCCTTAAACTATGGTGCCCAGAATTGGCCACAGTATTCCAGGTGTGGTCTGACCAAGGCAGAATAGAGGGGTAACATGACTTCCCTGGACCAGGCATTAGACTCCTATTTATGCAGGCCAAAATCCCATTGGCGTTTTTAAGCTTCAGCATAACATTATTGGCTCATGTTTGATTTGTCCACAAGGACTCCAAGATCTTTTCACACGTACTGCTGTCGAGCCATGTGTCCTTTTGCATTAATATGCAAGATGTATTTTCATTCACTGGACCAAATTTGGCACAAATACCTGATATGCCCAAATTTAAATACTGGTGGGATTGGGTTGATTCTGTCATTTGGGAGTTGTAATTTCTAGGATTTATAGTCAATCTACAATCAAAGAGCATTCTGAACTCCATCAATGATGGAATTGAACCAATCTTGGCACACAAAACTCCCATGACCAACAGAAAATACTAGGAGTGTTTGGTGGGCATTGACCTTGAGTTTTGGAGTTTAAGGGACTCACTAGCATGAGCCTCCCTCCAGCCTCACACGCTCTCCCTCACCCACACATGCATACCACGCTGCCATGCACTAAGCAGGCCTGCTCTCTCCTCCCTGCTTGGGGTCTCAGAAACAGCCCTCCCATTGGCTGAGAGGCTGGTCAATCACAGTGGAGGAGGGTTTTTGGTGGGAGGATTCACCACCTGTTTCGAAAAAGGAAGAGAATGACAGGCGGAGAGATCTCCAGCCTTCTCTGCCAAAGAGGTTGCTAAAACCATCAGAAATCTATATTTTCTGATGTTTTTTTGTGGCTCCTCTGTAACCCCCTTGTGACATCCCCCCAGGGGTCCCAACCCCCAGGTTGAGAAACACTGTTTTACACCATAGTCTAATAATGCGATTAGGTCCATTCCTGGGATTCCAGAGCATGGCGGAACCCAAAGATCATTTTCAAAGATGAGCCCTACTAGCTTCCATCCCTGGACATATTGTTGGTGGATGGTGTTGTGGTTTGAGCTTTGGACTAGGCTTCTGGAGACCAAAGCTCCATGCCTTGCTTAGCAGTGGAAACCTACTGGGTGACCTTGGGAAGGTCATGTTATCTTGGCCTCAGACAAAGGCAAAGGCAAACCTTTGCTGAGGAAATCTCATCAATGAAATCTCATGAGAGGTCCCCCTTAAGGTCACTATAAGTCAGAAACTATTTGAGACACAAAGCAAGGGTGAATGTTATGGGTTGCTGTGAGATTTCTGGGCTGTATGGCTATGTTCCAGAGGCATTCCCTCCTGACATTTCACCCACATCTATGGCAGGCATCTTCAGAGGTTGTGAGGTCTTTTGGAAACAAGGTGAGTGAAGTTTATGTATCTGTGGAATGTCTAGGGTGAGAGAAAGAACTCTTTTCTGTTTGAGTCAATTGTGAATGTTGCAATTGGCCACCTTGATTAGCACTGAATGGCCTTGCAGCTTCAAAACCTAGCTGGTTGCTGCCAGGGGAATCCTTTGTTGGGAGGTGTTAGCTGGCCCTGATGAATTCATGTCAGAAATTCCCCAGTTTTCTGAGTGTTGCTCTTTATTTACTGTCCTGATTTTAGAGTTTTTTTAAAAAAACCTGGTAGCCAGATTTTGTTCATTTTCATGGTTTCCTCCTTTCTGTTGAAAATGTCCACATGCTTGTGGTGTTCAATGGCTTCTCTATGTAGTCTGACATGGTGACTGTTAGAGTGGTCTATGGCCATACAGTGTGGAAAACTCACAGCAGCCCAGTGATTCCAACAATGAAAGCCTTTGACAACACGGTGAATGTTATGTTTATTATTTGGAGGTGTCATAAGCTAGGATAACACAAAGCATTTAAAATTAATTTATTTTTAATCAAACAACTGCATATAGACCTCGGAAATGGTCTGTAGCAGCCCCCAAGATAAATAATATTGATTGATTGATTGATTGGAATCACAGACATGGAAGAGACCACAAATAGTCATCCAGTCCAACTCTCTACCACTCGACTGATTGACCAATGTGTGTCCAGCTCATAGCTTGGTTGGGGCTCCTTTTATACCACACACATATAAGACTGTGGCTATAGTTGTGGCTCCTGTTGTGTTGTTATCATCCCATTTTCATCTTCTCAAGGAGACTCAATGCTTTTGCATTGATTGCCATGATCCTATAGGACAGTTTAAGGTGTCCTTTTAGTGTCTTTGGCTAAATTAAAAACACTAGGATTCTGTAGAATGCACCCATGACACTTAGAGAAATCATAGTGTTATATTTGTGTAGAGTCCCTGATTCCTTAATGATGAATAATTGAAACTACAATTTCATGTAATGCATCAAAGTCTCTTCACTTTGGTTTTTTTTTTTTCATGTCAGGAGCAACTTGAGAAACTGTAAGATGCTTCTGGTGTGAGAGAATTGGCTGTTTGCAAGGATGTTGCCCAGGGGATGTCAGATGTTTTACCATCCTGTGGGAGGCTTCTCTCATGTCCCCACATGAAAAGGTGGAGCTGAGAAACATAAGCTTACTGTGCTCTCTGGATTCAAACTGCCGACGTTTTGGTCAGCAGTCCTGCGGGCACAAGGGTTTAACCCTTGTGTTAAGAGAACTGGTGTTTACAAAGGAGGACTTTTGAATCATCCCTGTCTAGGAAGCTTTCTAGTCCAGCACCCCTGTAATGTCATTGATTCCCCATTTCTGCCAGGTCATCCTATAAAGGATTGGTCCCATGGTATTCCATAGAGAGATAGACTCTAATGGTCTAGCTGTAACACATAAAACTCACAGAATCACAGGCTTACCTCTCAGAGCCTGAATACCCTGGCCTAAAGACATGAGATCCTGTCTGATCTTAAAAGCTAAGCATGGCCAGGCCTGTTTAGTACTTGGATGGGGAAAACTAATAGATACCAGGTGCTGTAGGCTGTTTCAGAGGAGGAAAACTTGTCAAAACCATCTCTAAGTTGTCCTTATCAAAGAAATCCAACTGAATTCCTAGGGTTGACAGATAACTTGAAGGCACATACACAAAGAAGCATTGCAAAGGCCTGCTAGTTTACAAGATGATTTATCTGGTCAAATATGGTTTCATTTTAAATTGTTTCAGTTGTCTATTAACTGCGCAGAGTGCTATTTTTAGTAGCAAGGCAAGATAAACATGTAATAGTAGATAAATAAGGGAATAAAATTTAAATTATTAAGACACTTGGTTGTCTGAGAAAGTGAGAGGTCAATCCCATGCCCAGAATCTCTCACAATGGAGGGAACAGTTAGATATCTACACCTGGTTATATCCTAGTTGCTCTGGTTGATGGATAACTGAGGAATATTGTCATTATCTATCTGTGCTGCAGTGCATTGAACTCACAAGAGATATTGATTATAATTATGATAATTATTAGATTTGTGCAATCTGGGTAAACTGTGATCTGTTTCAGTGTCCCGGATTTCACTGGGGTCCCAATCCATTTTTCGGGAGCCTCCTGGATTTGGGAAGACAGAAATCTGCTTTTGATCGGGGAAGCCAAAATATTCGTTTTCTATTCCCCCATTATGGGAAGCGGGGGACTTCCCATGCTTCCCTTCCTGTTATTTTAGGCACTGTTTGTCCTTATTTCCTTCATTAAGACATGGATTAAAAGCATCAAAGTTAAGATACCATTCTTTCTGCAACCTTTCCCTTCTGTCTGTAGAGGAGACCAGGTTTAATGTTTAGTTAAAGCTGTTTCTACTCTAGAGGAGACAAGCACGCATGGTGCTCCCTCCCTCCCTGCATAGCATACAGCTTTCCAAGGCATTTTAAGGAGGCTTGAATATAAATAAATAAAAATATGG